CCTGCTGAAGTTGACAGGAATATAACAAGTGCAACCAAGAAAGTCTGGAGAGTGATCCAGCTTATGAAATGTAAGAGATTGCTTGCTTTAGGGCAAGTTTAATTGATGCCTGGGCTCTTTTCAGTATTAACTAGGTGTTCATTGTCTGTGATGGGATTTTAGGCAACTGAATAGTTTGCATCTGTATACTGGATACATGCTTGGTATCTAAAGTGACATGATGTTTTACACATTGCTGACCTTTCTCCCTTTGGTTGTGTGAATTCTGGTTCATGTTATATTTCATTATGTGTAAAACTTCCTTCATGCTTTCATTAAGCTGCTGCAGAGTAACATATTAGCATATGTGGTGATAGAAAATTAACATTATTGTAAATGAGGCAATACTTAAACCAGCACCCAAAGTGAAAACGCATGCAGTTAACACTCAGTGTTAAATTATTTTCATACATCAGTCCTCGCCAAGCTGACAGCTGTAAAGCAGGGACAGAAGAGTCCAAATTCTCTGTCTATATTGACTTATATGTTTAAGTACAATCTATGTTATGTGGAAATATGTTTTGATAATGCTGAGAGCCACTTAACAGGAAGTGACAGTGTGTATCTTGAAATCCTACATCCTGCGTGCAACAAACCATCATGGAGAAGTTCTGGGAACACCTCGCAGGCAGAGATGGCAGAGCTGTCCAGTCTCACTCGTGTGGTGTGAAATACCCAGCCAGATCCCAATGCTGATGCCAGGGTGCTTGCCTGGCTTGTTTCTCCTGTAGCCAGTTTGGCTTTGCAGTCAAGCAGTTGGAAAATCGTATGCTCAGGAGCCCACATTAGCCAGTCTGGAGTAGCTTGCTGAAGAGGAAATTTAATACAGTCAGGCATCACAGCAATTTTTTAATATTTGATGTGTTGAGATCACTGCATTTACTTTCTCTCTAAACTTTATATGTGCTGTACATTTTTCCATCCACTTTAAATCCTGCTGCCCCAATTCCTCAGTCTTGTTGCTCCAGCACAGAGGCTTCCTCCATCTTGGCCTGCCTGACATCTGATGTTTGCCTTGGAAAGTTGGACAGGCATACATTTAGGGGTAAGATAAGGCAAAGACACTGAATCCAGGTGGAGCAGTAGCTGCAGATGGAAGAATAGCAAACCTCTTAGCAGAGTATCAGATGCTGCAATATAATAAATACGTTCCTCAGTAAATCAGATGGAATAGTATACATCTTGATTGTTAATTCCGTATCACTTTGCATAGGGAAAGGGCCACCTCTAACTGAAAAGGCATTTGGGATGAGACATCATATGCTGTTGTCCAAAGGAAAACACTGGTTAATTTCTTCGGGGGAATGGGAATGAGACATGTAAAACACTTTCTGCAGGAAATAGCTTAAGTTTTCCTTTGTCAGAGACACTGAAGGAATCAAAGGTTTTTTTCAGCAATACAAATGTTTGGTATTTTTTCTTTTGCAGAATAAAGAATTTTTACAAGAGAAGATGTTGCAGAGAGCACCAACAATCACTGAGAGATCCAAAAAGGTACTGAAAACCTCGTGGGCTTTTGCCATTAGTTGTACTAATGTGTTCACATTTTTAATGATAATTACTGTAGTATGGCATTTTCCATATTGAGAACTAGACATTTCAATAAAATACTCAAGCACCCTGGCAGGTGCTGCAAACTCTAGATGCTTTTGTGCTATGTCTCCTAAACAAGATTAACTGTAGAAACTGTCTGCTTGGTGTATCAGTTTTCTGTCTTTGTGCTGAGCAGGTCCGGAGAGTCCCAGGTTCCAGTGGACGTCTTCATAAGACTGAAGATGGTGGCTGGGAATGGAGTGATGATGAACTAGATGAAGAAAGTGAGGAAGGCAGAGCAGCAATTTCACAGCTCAGGGTGGGTCCTCAAACTCCAATAGCTCTGTCTCTGTTTTTTAAGTGTGGCATGCCTAAATATCCCTGGGAAGCATGTGGCCTTGTTTTAAGTATAATATACAGTATTCTATGATCCTTCCCTTTGAGTTTGTAAGCGAACTGGAGAAAACAGACTGAAGGCTAAAGAAAGAAATTGTATTGCTCTCTTGTCCTGTCATCATTCTGGGGCACAGCTGGTCTCATTCAGGGATGTTGAGTGTAATTGGGAACATGAATTCAGAGAGTCTGCTGTCAGCTCAGCATACTCATTCACTTGAACTAGGATATTCTCTTTTGTTTTTAAGGGTGCTGACTGTTTGAGATGCTTTCTTCTGGAAGCATCAGGAGAGCTTTTGTCCTACTGCCCTCTCCAGGATGGAACTGAAATCAATAGGACCTGTGCTTATGGCTGTTATCTGAAACACACAGGGCCTGGTTCTGTCCGTTCTGTTACACTGAAATCGATTAGTCCTGGTAGAAAATGTTATAGCATTCCTAAAGTCATAAGAAGTGATTGGTCTAGCCCTTGAAATCCTCTAAAAAGTACGACCTCTCCAACAAATACACAAATCCAAACCCAGATTAACAGAGGAGAATCCCCAGAAACACAGAGGAGTAATGCATAATGATCAACTAAAAGGTTGCAGTAACTTTCCAGATAGTCTTCCCCCAGTAGTCAGCACTGCTGATTTTGCCTGTTCCCTTTTCAGTACAGCAGGTAACCTGAAGTGGATTGTGCATTTAAATCATTCTGTAATTGAATTAGACAGTGAAGGAGTTTGAGGAAAGGAAAAAGAAAGGCAGTATTGGTTTGGAGAATTTATCCCTTTACAACTCACAACTTTTCTCATTTCTCTTTCATTAGTCTTCCTTCTACTAGTGTTCTGTATAGACCTTTAAATACTAAATGCAGGATTTTTGCATCTTTTTAGCATAATTTGAAATGTTTGGGTTCTAAAAGGCCACTATTGATGGAGTAATTCCATGCTTTGCTGCAATACCTATTGTAACTTTTTAAAAGGCTTACTATATCCAGCTTCATAGTATATGGTCAAGGAGGATATCTTGGCACAAGGCGGCTACTGAAATTCTTGATGCTTTATGCGCTGAAATCTTCTAAGTTCCTTTTTTAGGTTAAAATATGATCAAATTTTTGGAGGCGATATTGTGAAAGACCCTAACTCTATTTCAGATATTACTTAGTTCTTGTCTGTCTCTAAGCTCAGGGTACTATGACTTAACACTGTTTACTGTGTTTTGAACAGTACTTAGTTGTTTCATTCCTCTTGCGCATTAAAAAGCAGATTGACACACATGTTTACAGGCTCCTTCTCAAGCCATTTGTTTTTCTTGAAGCTTTGGCATATTTCCTTGTACTGCCGTCTGTTCTGCTTGCTCTGATTTAGGCATACTTCCCTAATTTAGCTTTTACTTTTAGCTCTCCCATTCAAGGAACCTTTAGGATAGGTGCTGGAGCAGTAGGTCTCAATTCAGTTACCTAGATGTAGTAGTATATTGCCATTTTGGAGGCACCTTGTGTAGATATAACAGAACTTTGGGAGACATGTATCTTTCTGGGGGTTAGGAAGGGCACTCTGGCATTTTAGACCTTGCTACATGTCAGCCTAGGTACTTGAATCCTGCCCTAGGTGTCTTTCCCACAGCTTTTGAGTAATTTTCTTATACCTGAA